TGCAGCCATGAGGTGCCTGCACCCATGGCCAAAGCGGCAAAGTCCAGCTTGGGCAGGCTGGGTGCAGGGAGCGTGACTGGGGGTGAAGGAGCAAACAGGAATGTCCTTGGAAAGGATATTGCTGCCCACCTGGACACTCTAACGCAGTTGCCCAGCCTTGGCACGTGCGGAAGCTGGTTGAGCTTTTCCTGGAAGACCCTCAGTGTACCTGCCCTTGCTGTGCAATTATACGCTGCAGCATTTGCCTGGGGAAATGAAAGTGCAGGTGCCCTGGTGGGGTAACAGTCCAGTGTCTGCTCACTGTTAAACAGCTGCCCTCTGTAATGACCTCTGTGATGGGCTGCATAACAAAGCAAGGCGTATTATATTATATTATATTATATTATATTATATTATATTATATTATATTAATGTTTGCTTAAAATGCAATCTGTTTGGTATTCTACTTAACTATCAGGTTTTGGTAAGGAGGAGGGAACAGAGACTTTACAAGTGTTAAGACAATCAAAGTGTTTTAAACCGAATTAGTATAAAATCATAAACTCTTACACAAGGTCAGATTTTCCCGTCTTGCTCAGCTCTGAGTCACTGGAAAAGGAAACCCTGCACACCCTGAGCCGAGTGGCTGGCTCTAGCCTTTCATTTCCAAAGGGAATTAATCGGAGTAGGCTGCCCTGTTCCAAGACCCGTCAATAATATTCTCAGGCTATAAATGCATTCCTAATGGCAGAACTCCCTCGTGCTTTCTATTCATTGCCTTCCCTGCGTGGTTATAGGTATCAGACCACCGTGGCTACATGTCTTTCTGCAGTTGTATCTGCAGCTTCCCTCATGTGCAGTGTTGGTGGTGCCCACGCCAGCAGCCGAAGGGTGAGCCTGCAACTGTGGCACCAGCTCCTGCCCATGGGACGACAGAAGGGAGTAGCTGTGCTGGACATGGCTTGGCTTTTTCTCAGTATTCAAGCTTTCTGTACCCGATTGCCCACTTGCCCGGGGGTGCTGCAGCCAGTGAACTCTTTGTCAAACCTTTTGGGTAACTCAGGCTTCACAGCAGCTCTTTGGCCAGTTTTCCCCTCCCCACTGGCTCCTTCATGAGAAATGCTCCTCTACCTGGGCCCACAAACATTCCCTGCTGCCCACCTGGTACGTCCACGACCCCCAGAACTCCTCTGGCTTTTCCTTCTGCTGGACAAGCTGATCAGCAGTTAGCAGCAGTCTTCTCTGGGTCTGGAGCGTGCAGGTAGTGATCCCAGAAGCAAAATAAACCAAAACTCACTCTGCCACACTCAGACACGTTTTTCTCATGCAGCACCTGGATGTGCCTAGAAGGCAGCACCAGGACGTCAACTTGTATGTGTGGGCGAGGAGTGGGGGTCCCCGTCCCAGGCAGGGCAGGGAGCTCAGGCAGTTCCCAGCCCCTTCCGCGCCGCGTGTTTGGAGCAATGCAGAGCTGCGAGACACGGCTGCAATTTCTCCTTTCTTTCCTGTTTATTTTTCCCCCTCCTCAGCTCCTGCAAGCGCTGCTCCAAACGCTCCTTACCAGACCAGAGGTAAGACAGCCCCAGCAGGGTCACATGGAAGTGGTTTCAAAGAAGAAATTCAGCTTGGCAGGAACAGGATCGGAAACCAAATCTCCCCCCCAGGGCCCAGGGGCAGAGCCAACAGCTGCCTCCCCAGCCCAGGGTACCTCTGTCTGCAGCCACCCCCCAGCAGCTGTGGGGCTGCCCCCGGGCAGGGCACCCTCCTGGGGAGCACGAGGTGGCTGCGTGGTTTGTTCTCACCGTGAATGTCAACAAATGGTGGGTGTTTTTTCCCCTTCCCAGAAGTTCAAACCACCACATCAGCATGCAGCGCCACTGCTTCCTGCAACACTTGGCAGAGCGGGGCACAGGGCTTTGGCTCCCTCCCAAGAGCTTTGGGGAGGTAGGGATTGCCTCTCAGCAGCCTCCCAGGGAGCTTGGGCACCCAGCATTTGCTTGTGCCTGAGATTTTACTTTTTCAACTTTGCAAAAAGTACACGACCTCCCTCCCCTCTGCATCTGATCAGTGCACACGCTGCCGCAAAAATATTCCAGTGCTCCCCAAATCAGTAAGTAATATGCACCCAGAGCACCTCTGGAGAGCCAGGATGTTAATCGCTCTTTCTTCATTTCAATGTCCTATCTAGAAATTGGAAACATTCTGTTTTACTGGGGTTTTGTGCAGATAAATGCTCCCATGATTAACAGTTAATAACTGCCGTCACGTTACGCTGTCACTGCCGAAGGGCAGTATGACAGACTAATATGTAACGGGGCATCGGCACTGCTGGCTGGACCCTGAGAGAGTTTCATTTCACGCTTTCTCATGAGAGCTGTCAGTAGCCTGCTTTGGAAAATTCCCAAATGGGAACATTTGGAAATCTGGAAAAATATGGGGCTGAAACGCCATTACAGAGTGCAGCCGGGCAGAATAGGCACCCATGGCAGAGCCTACGAACAAAGCAGATGGTCTATGGGGAAATAGTCAGTTGCTAAAGACCAGTTCATTACTTCTCTTTAATTTCACCACATTTTCACCATAGTTGCTTGGTAATTGCAGGGCAATGCATTTTCCTGTGCCGGGACAGAAAGTCCTTGCTTGAAAATAAAGATGTTATGCTGGTGTAGTCCAAAAGTCAACTAACACACCCTGTTCAAATTAATTACTTGATCACTTGCAAAGATTCTGTAGAGTTGCTAAACGAATAGATAAAATAGCCTGTGACCTGGGCACAATCAATTCCACCCACTTAGGTATGACCTGCCTGCACAAAGAGGACTCCCAAGTCAATGGTCAACTATCTTTATCAACCACATAAATGGCTCGGTATTCAAACCTGTGTACCACATGCAAAAAAAATAGTGTTGCAAGATATTTTCAAAGGAAAATAGTCCCAGCTATTCAACAGGTGCACTGACTAAAGGACAGTTATATATGTGTATGAATACAGAGGGGGAAAATGAGAGTTCCCTGAAACTCTTTTGGTGAGCTCATATTTAGGATAGCAGAGAGGTGCTGATGAAACACTTGCAATGTTTCTGCGACGGGAATCTGAAGCAACAGAAGAAACATCTCAAAGGGAAATATTCTTTAATTTTCCTAAATGGAAAAAATCTTGGCTTTATAATCGATGTGTTCTCCATACAGTAATCTAATTTATATTATCGAACAACTTACATATAAATATATATATATATATATATATATATATATATACACACATATTTATTAGCTCTGGAAAAGAAATGCCTAAATGCAGCAGGAATCATCATTTATGAGCAGTGAAACCAACAAGCCCCATCCTCATCAGAGATAAATTGTCCTTATTGCACCAAAGCCACAGAGTAATGCTACCTTCACTTTCCTGGCTTTCTGACTCAGAAAAACTGGATGCTCAAAATTAGACAGTTTGGGGAGTTTTTAAGGTGTCCTTGCATAAATAGCTCACTTTAAGTCAATTTCTGGTAAGGGAATAGGACTCAAGTCTTTCAACTTATTTCATCATAAGCTAATCAGCACCTAATAGTGGCTTGTTTTGAAAAAGTCTTAACCTTTCATTTCATTATGAAGTCTTTGAAAGCCAAATTCAGCTCAACTTTCTCTTGCAGACTGTTAACGGAAGTGAATAATTTGTAAAACTCTGCCGAGAAGAAAATTGGAAATAACACCAAAAAAGGTTAGAGGTCTTTTGTGTAAAATGGTAATGAAGCTTCTCCTTCCGTATCGTTTTGGTCTCCTCTGCCACAATATATATCTGAAATAAAATGAGATCCAGAGAGTTATGGAGTCAAAAAGCAATTTCCACGTGAGCAAACTAGAGGTAGTAAGATGTCTCCATTTCCAAAAGAGGAGAAGCTTAAGAAAAAAAATGCAATTGGTATAAGCAGTTCATTAGCAATGTACTTGAATTTACTAAGACTGGTGTTCATCTGATTAGCTCAATTTCAGATTCAGATTACTATTATTAATGTTAATTTTTATAGTGGATATTTAAAGATCCATCTAGCACACCATTAGAATTGGAATGTATCCACTAAATTAGGTGGCAAGCCACGAACATTTACTGGTACAAGTTTGTTCTCCAACACTATATTGAGTTTGTCTTTCAGGGTCTTCTCAACCTCTTCATCAGTAAGAGTTGTGATCTGCACCACATCCATGCCGTCCATGTAGTTATACTTCATCTCAGTGAAGGTCCAGCCAACTAAGGAGTAAAACCCCTCAGTGGTCTGGAGGCTGCAGAGCGACTTCTTCCGAAGTACGTGATCTGTAGACACTTGTAGGTACGTGTTTACCTCCTGAAAGTCTTCTATATGCCGTGGCTTGAGAGTGAATGTATATATTTTTCTGATATTCCCCCGTTGAGGAGTATCAGCAAAAGGGACACTTTGCTCAGGAATATAATGCTTCCTTTTGACTTTCTCAAAGAACCAGGTGCCGTTGTCTTCCATGAAGCGGAAGATGCCGGGGACCTGGGGTTGATCCTTCCCAGAAACCAACATCAGTGGCTGCCACGCCTGGTAGGCACCGCCAAAACCCGCATCTACTATGTAGGGATCTCCCTTGATCACCACCTTCAGTAGGATATGATTCATCTCAGCAGTGTACGCCCCCTCTGCTGGTTCATAAGTATTTCCTCCAAGAATACAGATGTCATACCCTAATTGTTGCAAGGCCCAAAATAAAAGGTGGTTGCTTTCCAGGCACCATCCACCACGTTTCTTCCTCACTATCTTATTGTAAGTAGACTGTAAATCCAGTTCGATGGTCTCCCCACAATGCATGCTGAGGTTTTCAAAAGGAATTGCCTGGATGTGATGCTGGAAAATGTCTGTCAAGGTTTGCAAGTCTGCATCCTTATGGGAACTGTTGTAAGAAATTCTTGCGAAATACTCTTGAATGTCCATTTTTGCCTGTGTGAGCAGAAAAATAGCCAGTTACTGTTGTGCAGCTGTCAAGGGGTTCACTCCTGTTTCTGCAGCACAGGTTAACCAGCCTGCAAATGGAGCCTAGGCCGTTTCATTGCGGATTTGGAAGAAATCTCTGCCCTTGATAGGAGATGAATGCAGGTGAGGCCTGCCTGTGTCATCTGTATTTCTGAAAAAAGAGACGAGGATAGGAGCAGGTGACTATAATGCTTTCTCTGGCTCAGATGTTGCCTTCAACCCAGGTGAATGTTTTTCCTAGGGGAAGGCACGGCAGGTGGCACAACAGAATCTCTGGCCCCATATGAGGTGCTACGTGACAAAAAATTAATCGAACCGACCACAGGTTTGCAGAAATGCTGCTAGACCGTAGCGGCATAGAATTCAAAGCAA